TTTTTTTCCTGGGTGTTTTGTTGTTGTTGTGCTAAGCTAATAGGCAGAATGCTACTCTAAAGAATGTAGCCTCATGGGCAGTGTAGTCCGTGTTGCAGGGAGAATGGACTGCCATACCCGTTATGTGTCTGTGAGCGCGAGGAGGGAGAAAAAGGAAAAGTACGAGCTGTCATCGAGCAAAACGGGAGCTGGAAGCATGTAAATATAATAATAACCACTGCAGCCAAGAAGAGTGCCTGACGAGCCCAGTTGTAAGTAAGCTATTAAGACTCGACTGTACACTGTGTTCATGTTTTCCTCCGAAAACAATAAGTTCCGTTGGAGCAGCCTTTCAACGCCTCTCTCTGTCTCTCGCTAGCAAACTTGACCCAGACAACAAAGTAAAGCTATTTTTCAGCTACGAGCCCGACACGGAACCCACGTATTAGCCGCGACCTTCAGTAATAGTAATAAATCACATTCATGTAGTTGTAAACAGCATGATAATATATTAAGTAATCCAAAGTATTCAGAATACGTTATGTTACTCTCATCGAGTAACGTAATGGAATACGTTACAAAATACATTTTGGGGCATGTATTCTGTAATCTGTAGTGGAATACATTTTAAAAGTAACCTTCCCAACACTGATTATGACAGACTATGATAATCATGGTCAGTACAACAGATGGCCTGACACTAGTAAACAGAAACACACAAACTAAATACACACAAGGGGTGATCAGGGAAAGTGAAAACACATGAGGAAACAGCTGATTGAAATGAACATGATGATGTCACAGGGGAAGTGAAACCAAACACAATGAGGAAAGAACACAAGACTCTTTCAAAATAAAACAGGAAGCATGGAGCACAAAAACAAAAATCAAGAATAAAACTAAAATACACAAAACTTTGGGTCGCAGAGCCAGTACCGTGACACAGGCTTTCTGTTCATTTTTGTGTTGATTTTAAGATTCTTTACTTACTTTCTAAGTTTTAAATGGTATGGCGCCCAGCTATTTCAGCAAACTCCTCAACATGTATAACCCAAAAGAGCACTGAGCTCATCCAGATGCTTTTAGAACAGCTGAGTCTTTGACAGTTTAAACAAATCCTGTCTTAAAACTCACTTTTTTTACTTTGGCTTTTAATTTGAGTTCAGTACCACCAAGTTTGTTTTTTTGTTTGTTTTTATGGTAAATATATTATACTTCATACTTCATCTCATGTCTCATTTTCTGTATTTATTTTTCTCTTGTTTTCTCTTGTTCATTAACTAACTTATAAAGCAGTTTGGTCAATTTTGTTGCTTTTAAATGTGATAGAAATAAAACTGATATTGACATGAACAATTTCAGATTAAATCAAGTTCAAACATGGGTAACGTTGTCACAAGACGGCTTATTTAAAGTACATATATGAATAATTAATTACTAAACAAATGTACAAATTTTGTGTTCCCACAGTGTCTGTTGATGTGCAACCAGTGAGGCGCAAGCACAGCTATGAATATTTGCCACCTGACTGTAAGTAAATCTGGACTGAGTCGAAAGTTCCATTATTTTCACAAGATCTGAAATAGCAGCATCTCGTACATTTATTACGGTGGTTAATTTGACTTGGTGAGTCCTGAAGGAATGCTGTGTCACTTCACTGAGACTCTGAAGCAAATAATGGCCCGATGTTATTGGCTGGGCATTGGACGTATTGGCTGGGGGATGTGCACTGATGGTACATGTCCTACTCTGGGTGTCAGCTAGTGAACTAGTCGGCCATTCCAATAGTGCCTCTGCACCAACTACTGTTAATGGAGCATTTGGTTGAATTAAATTTTATTTATATAGCGTCAAATCACAAAAACAGTTACCTCAAAGCGCTTCATATTGTAAGGTAAAGATCCTACAATAATAAAAATAAAAACACAGAAAACTCCAACAATCATGTGAGCCCCTACAAGCAAGCGCTTTGGTGACAGCTGGAAGGAAAAACTCCCTTTTAACAGGAAGAAACCTCCAGTACGACCAGGCTCAGGGAGGAGCAGGTATCTGCAATGACAGGTTAGGGGCAAGGGGAGGAAGACAGGACAAAAGAAATAAAAATAATAATAATAATAATAAAAATAATAATAATAATGGATTGCATTTAGGGCTTTTCGGGACCCTCAAAGAGCTTTACAACACCACTATTCATTCACTCTCACATTCACACACTGGTGGAGGCAGCTACAGTTGTAGCCACAGCTGCCCTGGGGCAGACTGAC